CTACCTTATGTTGGGGCAGGTATCTAGAAATTGAGTCTAGCTCTGTCGATTAGGCCAAGACGGAAACAGAATCCAGTCTCCGAAAAGTCGTGTTTCAAATCAAAAAGAACTATGGATAAAGTCCAGAAACAAAAAAAAAAAATAATTATAAGTATTTAGGGCTGATAATAGTCGAAACATTCCCTTCTCACCTCGTCACCAAACATGCCTGCATCTACCATTGTTGTCCACCCTCTCACCATCAGCGCAATTTGTTGGATTCTTCCGGGGAGGTACGTTAATGATGTTAGTTCCTGTGACAGCTTCGTTCTTATTGGTCGAAGAAGATTCCAAAATTAACCTACTTTCACAGGCACAGATGATATACACAAGAATTACAATTGCGAATACATTTGACTGAAACCAGTATTTCCGGTCTGATTTAACCATTTTGATCACCTAACTTCAAACTATTATAGGTGCCAGTATATAAATAATACGAATGTCTTCAGACTTCGCCTGTTCTTGAACACATAGGACATATAAATTAGACTTTGCGTCACACTAGTCATACAAGAACAGTCACTTTCCAATCACGTGACACATCTTTATCTTTAGCAGATAATCCTAACCCGAGAAAGTGGACATTGTGCTCCAATATTAAACTTTTTACGCCACATTTCATCGTAGACTGTAAACAACGCATGTGTGTTTTATTTTGCTGAAAACTGTTGTTGTTTGGTCGTCTTAATCTAAAAAAAAGAGGCCTACCACAGCGTTCAGTTTTATGATTTCTTTAATTAGCAAGAATGACTATAAAACCGATGTTGATTGACCATAACGATGAAAATGAGTCAGCAAAATAACAACATTATGTGAAGTATTGAACTAGCAAAAATATTTTTTTTTCCTTCGCACTACAGCCCCAGTGGGCATAGGCCTACCTCCATGAACTTCTCCGTTCACTTCGGTTTTTCTAGATCTTAGTCATTCGGTAGGACTCCTTAGGCGGGTGATCAGCTCGTCACAAGGCCTCTACCTGTACACAAACACAG